GAAGCTGATAGAGTGAAACCTGTGTTATGTGAAGTTTTTGTGGAGTCAGATTTTAGAAAACCAGAGTGAGAAAGGTTTCACAGAAGTTATGTATCATGAGACGTGGCACCATTTGAAAAAATGTTTTGCATTTGATTCGCTGGCTTTTCCAAACTGTTATTGTCTTGTAACTTTCCCACTAATCTCAAAGGGCTTCTGTAGTCTGCTAGGAAGAGTATAAAATGGATATTCCGTCCTCTTTCCCGAATGGAGTCCATTGTGACTTCATAGTGCTGAGTTGGAATTATCTGCTTGCTTTGAAAGACATTACTCAGTCTTTTAGTGTATTGTTTAGCTTACAATAACATAAGTAATACATAAATATTATCCCTTCAAAAATTTAACTTTTCAGATAAGAAAATATCCCTTTCGCCAACATTTAAAACTATGCCAGTTGGGGTGAGGAAGAAAAACTAACCTATTGGGCACAATGTACACTACTCTGGTGAAGGGCACACTAAAAGCCCTGACCTCAGCATTATACAATTCACCCATGATAATAAAAACAGTTGTTACCCCTATAATATTTTGAAATAAAAAAAGAAACACAAAACCTATAAGCATCTTTCTTATCTTTTCAGTTATATATCCATATAATTTTTAGTATGCGTTTGCATACATAGACATGTATCTATAGAAAAGATATAGAACCATTTTGAGTGTAGGGATTTTTTTTTTAAATAAGTGGCATCATTCTTAACATTTTTTAAAATAAGTGGCTTCATTCTTAACATTTTGCTTTAAAACTTGCCTTATTAAAAAAAGAATCTTGGGGAAAAGTCTATATTAGTACATATGGACTTAACTCATTTTTAATCTAGTATATATATATCACTTACTATAGATATATCACAGTTAATTTATCCATATCCCTACTGCTGGATATTCATACTGTTTCTGATGTTCTACTTATAAATAATGCTGCATTCATTCCTTCCTAGCTGTGTATGAGTTTTCTTCATGATAGTTCTTTTTTGTTGTTTTGTTTTTCTTTTATGATTGGGTAATCTTCTTAAAATGCTGGGACTCATGAAATATAATAGCTAATTTTATGCAACGACCAACAATATCCTGTAGATTATCATCCAATTGGCCAAGCCATTTCCTTTGGTGAGTTCTAAAGTTTAATTAATATTTGTTGTGATTTAGCCAAATATGCCTAGTTGGAGTGGTTGAGATCCTGTCTTTAGCTTTTGGAATGAGTTTTTTTTTTTTTGCCTGTTCATCCTCAGAACAACCTTTGTTCCAGTGGTGGAATGGGAGCAGGGCCGAGTGAGAACACTCTTTAATAGACTAAGTCCATGACTCTCTCTCCTATTATCTATCAAAGTTTTGTCCAGTATATGACTGGGGGAAGACTTTATTTGGGATGAAGAAGTGACACATCTTCTCTTGAGATCTGTATTATAACCAGTCATTTGTGATCCCATAACCTGGGAAAATCCCTGAAGAGTAATAGAGGTAGTGAAGTTTCATTCACAGTTGAGTGATTCACCTATAAGTATTTCTTAACGGCCCAGGAAGGAGTCATAACTATGATAAGGAATTTGCTGATAGGATTATTTCTGCGGCAAGGTAAGATTGCCCTGATACCTGGTACAAAAAAAACAAAAAGCTTTTATCTTTTCTTAGGTCTTTAACAAAAGAGTGGGCACAGAATGTCTAGGGGGCGACTGCTGTTGGAATCGGAAGAATGCAAAAATCCAAATGAGGGTACAACATTTCACTGTTTTGATACTGTTGATCTTGCAAAGTGAACCCTTTGTATCACTGAGTTAGCTGCCCTTGATATAACAGAGATGCTTTGTTTTGGAACATAGGACAAGTATTAAAGGTTTCTTGGATATATCACCAACAATTCTGCACAGTAACTTCTTGGCATAATTTTTACATTCTTGAAAATCACTCTATTTTCTTTAACTCTACCAATAATACCAACCCAGGCAGGGCAAGCAATACTGTAGATTAGCTAGAGTAGGTGATTTATTGTGTCATGTCCAAATCACATCCCAAATCTGCCTTCATATCCTTCTGCTCCTCACTGAATTGTGTGCTGCCTTCTAAACTTAGTTATATATGTAGACAGAGATGTATATTTATACATAAATAGAAGGGAGTCCTGGGAATTTTGAGGTGTGCTGTGAAATTCCATACTGTTTATCTTTTGCTGTTTGACTATTCGTAGGGGTGTAAGCTTACTCAGAGCTCACATAGAAGCACCCAGGTACTGTAAGTCAACCACTGTGCTTGGTCTTTGCCCACTTCTCGTTCTGTGAAGTGAAGGAGGCCTCAGATGCATTTGGCTCGGTGAGGTTCAGAAGCACTTGTATTTTGCTACCTCTGTGTTAAAAAAGGCTGTTTTGTGTGTCTGTTCCCTAAAAGAGTTGAATTCCTTTGCTTGCTCTGTTTTGAGACATCAAGCCTTATTTTGATGTGTTTTTCTAGCTCTGTGTTCCCCAAATGTGCTTGATCATCAAAATCACCTGAAATGCTGTGAGTTATATGATTAGACAAGTTTAGGAAATGATCTTAGCCTTATGCATTAGGCCTGTCTCTTGGAGTTTAATTGTTGAGCCCTGTCAAGGACCAAGGTCCAGAGTGTGTCGCTGCAAGCAGTTGGCATCCAGCACTATCTTGACAGCAAATGAGGTAAAACTACAAGAAGTTGGGAGGCAAGCATTTACTTCCTAAGGATTTTTTTTTTCCAAAATCAGGAGAGACTCAGTGGGTGTTGAATTATAATAATATTCATTATTTCAACCATGATCTGAGTGCATATGGTATGCCAGGCATTCGCGCTAGGTGTGGGGGACACACAGCTGAGAATGAGGCAACTAACATTTATTGAAGTGCTTATCAGGAGATGGATACCAAGCTAACTGCTTCACATGACTTTTCTCGTTTAAACTTCACAACTGTCATGTGAGGTAGGTGTTACCACCTTCATTTTAAAATTAAGAAACTGTTTTATTAAAAGTTGGACTGACTTGGCCAAGATCAGAGATCTAGTAACAGGGGAATTCAGAATTATATTTACCAGACTCCTTCCCCTGGATCTATCTTCTGCTGACCATGGTCTGTATGTCTCCTCACTTTGCTCTTTCTCCTTTAAACAAAGGTTCTCAGCCCTGGTTACATGATAGAATTGCCTGGGGAGCTTTTAAAAAGTATCCTTGCCTGGGCTTCACCCCAAATGGATTAAATAAGACTATTTGATAGGGTCCAGGCATGGGCATTTCTGAAAAGCTCTCTGGGTGATGCCAAAGTAGTGATGGTTGAGGGCCTGTTAGAACATCATTAATTAACACCAAATAGACATTGCTTTTGCCAGCCTAGTAGTTTCCAGCATTCTTCTTGGATCATTTGGCTGATTACACTTTTAAAGATTCCAAATCCTTTTTCTTCCCATTAAATCCAACTGAAATTTATAAAAATATAGCAAATACTTTAATAATGCAAAAATTTTCCCACTGAGGGACATAATGAAAAATCCATTTAACTAGGAATTCAGAAACTTGAAGATCTATTTTCAGGGGAAGTATAGTCAATAGTGAGTAATGGGGAATCTCCTGAGGTCTAGAGCAACCATGACTTCTAGATTTCTCTTTTTCTGCTGAAACACTGAGATCCTGAAGACGCTTTCTGTTAATTTGATGGGGGAAGAAAAACCTTGGGACGTATGGTGGTTCTTGAAAGTTTCCCTCCTCTTTGGTAAGCACAGGTCACAAATCAACTTATTTTTTTCCGAAAACAAGTCAAAGGAAAAATAAAAACTAAATAGCTTGATCTTGCTAATTTAAATGCACTACTATATGTACCTTAAAGTTTATTTTGAATGCTTTAAGAAAAAAGAATACTCTAAAAAGTAGAATAGATATCTGAATTTCTTCCAGTTGTTTGAAAACCTTCTTAACTGTTCAAACAATGCATGTGTATATACTTATATAAACTTTTAAGCTAAGAATTCTGCATTTCCAGGCTTTCAACACTTTGGTAAACATCTGCTATGTGGTCAGTAATATTTTGCCTTTGTAAAGATGGCAGTCTAGCTAATGATTGATTCTTCACTAATTAAATCTGTTTTTGCCTTTCCTTCAACCAGTGAGTTTGATCTCTAAGACAGTTTCTTCTCAAAGCATCTATACCAAATATTAGAAGTAAATGGTTAGGTGAAGTAATCACAAATTTGTGGTCCATAAAATTTCTAGAAAAAGCAAGACAGGGAAAGTAAATTTGGGGTCACTGTTTATTTCAACAAATTTGAGGCACTTCTACGAGAAGAAAAAGTCAAGGCTACCAGGGGAGGGAAAACTTTAAACCAATGGGTCTTTAGACAGAGAAAGAAAGAGCAGTGACTTCCACCCAACTATCATAAGTAACTTAAGGTGAGTATTATTTCTGCATTTTAAAAGTCAGACATCAATACTGACAGGATAGTTGGATCATAAATTTCCATTTGGGTCAAGAGTCATTTTATGACTATTAGTAGAACAGAGCATTTAAAAAAGTAAACAGAGAAAAGAAAAAGAAAAACATGAAAAATGGCCTCCTTTTTTACATTTTCACATAGGTGATCTCCATACCAGGAGATGAACTTGAACTTGGTTGGGCGGGAGACGGACCTGGTTGGGCGGGAGACTGGAGCCCCTCAGAGAATTTGGGATTCTTCCATTTTTACTGGGAGGGTTGGCAGGTATAACTTGTGTTGTTATGTGAGTCCATGAGAGCCTCTGGGGTTCTAACTCCCTGCCTCTCTGTGTGGTGGAGAGGCAGTTGCTCACTCTGAAGCACTCGACTGATTTCTGTCTGTGGCTTACCCATGAACAGTGGCTTGGAAGTGTCAAAGCATGAGAGCATGCAGTTGAACAGCATGTGCTGCCGTCATCTCCTACATGGTTCTGCATGGGAAAACTCCTGGGCTGGCTGCCTTTGAGCTCAGGTGTTTCCTTCTTTCCCTACAGAACTCTCTGAAGGCTTCAAATCGGAAAAAGAAGAGAACAAGCTTTAAAAGAAAAGCCAGTAAAAGAGGAACTGAAGTAAGTCTGTCAGAGCTATATTCCAAGAAAATGTAGTTTCCTTTCCATAGCCTACTCTGTCCTACCTGATCTGGCCCAAGCTTAGTTTTCTAATGTATCTCCTACCACTCTTTCTCCTTCACTGTACTCTAACTTCACTAGAACTCTCTCTGTTCCTTAAAAAAACAAACAAAATCCCCAAAACAAAAAAACTAACTTCTGTACTTACTTGGAAATGTTATCCCAAAGATGATGATGATGAAGATGAAAGCTAGCATTTCTGGAGCAAATTATAATTTGAGATACTTTGTTCCAGCCTTTACATGGAAGGTCCTATTAAGAATCAGCCCTGGGAGGCAAGATGTAGGGTCTTTTAGGTGGTGATGGTGGTGGTGGTTTCCTATTTTCTTTGCCTTGGGGCTGCCTCTCAAACCATGGATGTATATCCTAACAGTGCTGCTTGCTTCTTTCAGCAGGAAAACAAAGGTCGTCCTTTTGTGATAAAACCTATCTCTTCTCCTCTCATGAAACCCTTGCTTGTATTTGTGAACCCCAAAAGTGGAGGTAACCAGGTGAGTCATTTTTTCATAAGTATAACTGAGAAGTTTCAATGATTTCTCAAAGCACAATTCCAAATGTCGATTGAAATAGCACTACCATGACCCCAAGCATTGGAAGACAACTAATTTCTCTCAAGGATAAGGTTATTGTTGCTCCATTAGGGATAGCCTTACACATTACAGGGCTAGGCAAAACCTAGAGATTCTATAATTTATCCTTCTACTTCCATGTAAGACTATAACAGGCACTTCAAAAACCCAACTACTGACATTTTCCATGTAGATTTTCAAGAGAGGTCATTCCAGAATTTCTCTTAGTATGTTTCAGGGTTTCTCAACTCTTATAGTTAAGAAGACTTTTAAAAACTTATCTTTATTTCTTTCTATTGCAATTTAGACCCAACTACTTTTGGTCCCAGTCCTCAGAGAAAAGAGAGAACAATGGCTTGTCAATCATGATAATTGTTAACAAATACCACCAATGCTATAGAAAATATTATCTTCTAAAGGTTTCCATTGTCCTTTGCCCAAATCCTATACTTTATCTCATTTGAGAATAAAGAAATAGTCTTAGAAAAGTTAAGTTTACTGGTACATCTAAAGTCACACTGCTGTTTAAAGGACAGAATTTATTCTAGAATCATGTCTTTGTCTCTTCTTCCAATTTTCTTCCCACTGTCTGAGGCTTCACTCTTCTGTGGGCTTTGATTTTCTGTTATTTTCATGTGAGTTTGGATGAGAAAATATTTTCTCTATTAAGTGTATTTTTTACATTTTGAGACAAGATTCCTTGAAGTTTCACAACAAACAATTGGATATTTGAAAATTTTTAGTCACCCCATAAAAAGAGGAGAACCATATAATTGGGATTGACCAAATCATCCAAGATGATATTCTTATTATTAAAGATAAAAGGCATTATCTAGAATGTATTAATTATAATAAAGCTTCTCCTATGGGAGCTTATGATTTAAAGGAAATATCCCTCCTTTCCTCTCTTTCTTCAAAATTCATGATAACTTGCTGTGTTAAAAATCTGTATTAACAATCTAGAGAACAGAGAAAAGAAATGTGTTTTAAGTAAAAAAAAAAATTATTTTTAACATCCTGCATTTTTGAGTTGTTGAGTGGTGATCTTCACATTGGAATGATGGTGATCCTAAGGCTGTCACTAGAGGAGGACCTAGAAATGGGTTTCTTTGGAGTGAGGTTTAATGCACCATGAACCATACTCACTTTCTTGGGATGGTATCCATATAGCCTATCAAGGCTCAGGGATGTGTTTGGGAGCCATGGAACAGAACAAACCAACTGCAATTGATTCCATGATTTTAGTTACCTGAGCACCACATACTAATTAGCACCAAATATATTTTATCATGATAGTCCACATATATGAGGAAGTCATTAAATCATTATAAACTTTTTCCCCCAGGGCACACAGAAGCTTGTAAGTTATCTATGCCTTTAAGGAGCTGACAACCCAGTTAAGATACAGCCTGTTCCTGTTCCAATCTCTGTATAAATTGTTAATGACAGGGACTGCAGAGATTATCTAATGTCGTTTCCCATTTCAGTAAATACAAAACAGGTCAAGGAAGCTTAAGTGAATTTTCTAAGGACATCTTGTTAATGACACAAAAGAGGCAAATGGAAAAAAATAAGCAACATTAACTGCATGTGAGCTCTAAATGGAGAGGCTCAGGCTACTAGTGCTATGGAGTTTCAGAGGCAGGCAGTGACTTGGGAGTGGTAAGGAAATGGAGTCATGAAAGTAGCTGAAGTGGCTGAAATTGAAGATAGGTGCTACTTAGTTATCAGAGGATATGATATCGGAGGGGCGTCTTTTTCCTTCTTTCTACTGGAGCAAATTCCTGTTCACCCTCCAAGGCTCAGGAGTGCCTTCTAGAGCATTTCTCAAAATTAATCACCACCATGCTCCTATAGCCCTTGGTACACACCAGCATTGTGTGAATTGCAGCATTAATGCTGTGTGTGTCTGCACTGTTAGGATATAGGTGCACCTTTGAATCTATGATTTCTAGAACACGAATGAATGTAGTTAAATAATTGTGGAATAAATAATATGAATAGAAGAACGCATTTGTGATGCATATTACTCATTTGACGACAGTATGGTAAGTGGAGCATGCATATAGGTTATTGGAAACGTGATTAGATATAGATTAGAATGATTCTATGGAATAATGTCTTAAAACCTTCGGATATTTAAGGTTGAGGATCTCGGATTTGTGCAATGGAAATGAGGCTTCTGCTGTTTAAAGTGTTTTAGTTTTAAAAATCTTTCGGTTTATGAAGAGAGGAGTAATATGATTGAATTGAATGTGTACGTGGTTTGGTTGAGGATCCTGTTGAAATGTAGATTCTGCTTCAGTAAGTTGAGGGGTAGGCCCCGAGAGGCTGCATTTGTAACAAGCTTGCTGGTGATGCTGTTACTGCTGCTCAGAGGACCACACTGATTAGCAAGGGCTTACTGTGATCAGTAAAGAAATATTTTTCTGTTAAATCCTGAGTTTTGTCTTGTAAAAATTGACTTGTTCCACTCATCTACTTTTAGATATAATGCACTCCTCTCTCTTTCCCTCTTGGAAACTTAGGCTTTAAACTTTTTTTTTTTTTTTTTTTAACTTAGTCTGGTGTTCTTTATGTAAATTTATTAGATGATATTGCCATCTACTGGCAAGAAAAATACCTGTAGCTATTTTCTTCATCATTTTATGTAGAAGGAAAATTTTTAACGTTTTGAAGAAGTATGTTGGGATAAATGTATACAAGGAAAGCGTCTTTTTTAAATTTCAGGATATTACAGGGGTATAAACATTTTGATCACATGCTTTGGTTTGTGCAGTTTGAGTGAAAGTTGTGTGTCAATCACCAAGGTAGAGTGCATTGTACCTAAATTACCTGTTGCCTTCTTCCCTCTTTCTGTCTGAGTTTTACTTCCATAGGTGCACGTGGGTGTTGATCGATTAGTTCCAGTTGAATAGTGAGTACATGTGGTGGTGTTTTTCCACTATTGCGATACTTCACTTAGAAGAATGATCTCTAGTTCCATCGAGGTTGTTACAAAAGATATTAATTCACCATTTTTTATGACTGTGTAGTACTTTACAGTATACATGTACCACATTTTATTAATCCACTCATGTATTGATGGGCTCTTGGGTTGATTCCAGATCTTTGCAATTTTGTATTGTGCTGCAATAAACATTTGAGGGCACATGTCTTTTTGATAAAGTGACTTCTTTTCCTTTGGAAAAATACCCAATAGTGGGATTGCTGCATCAAATGGTAGGTCTTTGAGATATCTGTATACTATTTTTCAAAGAGGTTGTACTAGTTTGCAGTTCCACCAACAGTGTATAAGTGATCCCTTCTATCCACGTCCATGCCAGCATCTGTTGTTTTGGGACGTTTGATAAAAAGCCATTCTCACTGGTGTTAGGTGATAAACCTCATTGTGGTTTTGATTTGCATTTTCCTGATGATTAGAGATATGAGAATTTTTTCATATGTTTATTGGCCATTAGTATATCTTCTTTTGAAAAGGTTCTGTTCATGTCTTTTGCCCACTTTCTTAAGGGATTGTTTGATTTTTTTTTTTTTCTTGCTGATTTGTTTGAGTTCTTTATAGATTCTGGTTGTCAGCCCTTTATTGGACGTGTAGCATACAAATATTTTCTCCCATTCTGTAGGTTGTCTATTCACTCTATTGATTCTTTCCTTGGCCATACAGAAACTTTTTAGTTTAATCAAGTCCTATTTGTTAATTTTTGTTATTGCTGTGATTGCCTTTGGGGTCTTCTTCATAAATTCTTTGCCTAGGCTAATGTCTAGAAGAGTTTTTCCAACATTTTCTTCTAGAATTCTTATAGTTTCATTCATGTCTTAAGTTTAAGTCTGTCATCCATCGTGAGTTAATTTTTGTGAGTGGTAAGAGGTGTGGACCCTGTTTCAGTCTTCTACATGTGGCTATCCAATTCTCCCAGAACTATTTATTGAATAGGGATTCTTTCCCCAGTGTATTTTTTGTCTGTTTTGTCAACAATCAGATGGCTATATAAGGATGGTTTTATATCTGGGTTCTCTGTTCTGATACCTTCATCTAATTCCAGTCCTGGGCTTAGAGTATCTCCCCTGAGCACTCATGCTTCTCATTAGACATCTCTATCAGAGCATTTACTGTGGTTAGTGAGTTAATTTGTTTTGTATTGGTCTACTTCCAGTAGGTTCTGAGCTCCTGACTATACGTATGAGTGCAGAGTAGGAGCCTACTACATATTTATTGAATAGAGCAAGTATTCATTTGGGATTCTTTAGAACCAGCTTGAAATAATCATTTCTCAAACTCTTATTCCCATTAACTTATTTTCCTCAGGCCTTTCTTATTGCTTGGCCAGCTGTTCTTACCATAATCTAGATATGCCTACATGATATAAACCAAGACTTAGTCACATAGCAGAATGTTTCAGCCTACACTAGAGTTAGGATGCTTTGATGAAGATTGACGAGCTGTGTAAACTGACCCATTCTTAATTGCCTTTCCATACCCCAAATCATTATCATTATGTTTTCCTTTATGAATAATGCATAGAACTTCCTTTTGAGTGCATGATCATATCTGTCTTGTTCATCTCTATTCTCCCACCTAAGACTATGCCTGGCATTAAGTAGGTGATTTAATGAGTCTTGTTCATTTCCCTCTAGAACTATCCACCTGTTTCCTAGGAAGTTGTGTTTTCCTGTTACATCCCTTCTGTGATACCTGGAACTGGAAAGAATAATATTTTTTTTTACCTCGTAGGAATACCCAATCTCCTAATATCTAAAAAGTTTTGCGGTCAATGAGGTGTTATATCTACAACAGCACACATGTATTAGGATTGATGTATAGGCTATTTTTTCCTTTAGAGAAAACTAGACTCGTGCACAAAAGTTGCGGCTTTTGTGTTCGGTATATAATGTATGATTGGTAGCTGTGAGAGTGTTGTGGACTTATTAGTGAGTGACAGGTGTGTAAATGATTGAGTAGATTTAATCCTGCCATTGAGAAAGAAACAAATTACCCTTCTCTGGTGAATTAGTATTTGTCAAACCATTCAGTTCTATTTAATAAATTACCTCTATTAAAGCTTTAAAGTAGCTTAACGCAGAGGTAACAGCAGAGTTAATAGAACTCACTCAAATGTATGAGTTAGACCTTTTTCTCTCCACCTGCTAGGATTGATTTTAAACAATGGTTTCATTCAACACTTGTTATTTTTGCGAATAAATATATTTTTGAAAGGAAATGCCTTTTAAAAGAAATAATTATATCATGCCTGAATGTCAACTCCGAGAGAATAGCCATGCACAACTATGCAAGTTATCCCCCCACGACTGCAGGGGGTATTATTCCAGTAGACTGCAATGGAAGTGGCACCTCCTACAGGTGTGCAGTGTGTAGCTTGTCAGGCTTAATTAATACCCCTTCCTCAAAAAGATAAATTGGGATAATTAGATGTACCAACTAACACAAATTGAAAATGAGCAAAACCAAAACTGTGTGGCCACTGAAATATTTTTGAGAAATTTCAGGTTAAGAAAAACAACCTCTCATGCTTTTTTACTTTTTGAAAGGTGTTAATTACCTAGTATTATTTGCGTAATAGGAGAAGCTGAAATTGAAATGTGCACTGTACCATAGCAAAGGTGGAAAGAAGTAATTAACATCAACAATTCAAACTGCTCTAGGAATCTAAAACTGACCAATTAATTTTCTAGCAGGTCAATTGGAAATGTCTAAAAATTGGTTGGTTATTAAAATGACTCTTATGTTACCTGTCAAACATAAAAGATTAGTTGAGATAATGCTGAACACATTTGAATATCGAGGCCCAGTGTAAGAAGAAAGAAAATTATCCCATATTTAGTTAGTATACGTATTTAAACCTATGTTTGAATTTGATAAAAAGCAAAATATGTCTGAAGGATTAGTTGGGATAATTAAGGATGTAACGTTATTCCTAAAATTATAGCAAGCACATGATAAGGAAGAACTTTTAAATTATAGGTTTAGATGATACATGAAACAAAAGACCTGCACTGGTCTCTGTAACAACTGGCATAACAATGTGATAATTATAAACTACACTTTAGTGCTCACACCCCCAAGTGTAATTTAATGAACAGAATAACAAGGAGCAAAAAAGAAAGACTAACATTTACAGAGGTCTATTTTGTGCCACATACTGTGCTAACTCTTACTGATTCATTTAGTTCTCATAATCACACTGGAAGGGAGACATCCCTTCCATTTTATGTCCTGTATTCCTACAGGATTATAAATGCTCATGATTACTCAGTTAGAACACCCAAGTTAGTTCTGACTCAACCCTCATGCTAGTTCTACTATACTAGGATGTTTCTTAAATACAGCGTATTAGATATACAAATTTAGGAATATTTTAGGAAAAAGCAATCATGATATCTGCCAAAGGAATAATATTTATAAGTGACAAACTCTGCTCAAGAGATCAAATATTATTTGCTATAATTGATCCTACTCCATTTTAAAGCTCTTTTGATACTGCTTGATAGAAAGATTCTTCCTTCCTTTCTTGTTTGCTCAACCCACGTTAAGAAATGATCTCTAATACCTACCTTGCATCTGCCATAATGATCATCTGTATAAATGTCACAGTTAGTTAAAACACTCCAAAACTGATCATGGGAGAGAGAAGTGTTTGGCTTAAACAAATCGATATATAAACATGGAGATTGAGAATGTCAAAAAGGAGCTAACTAGGGAAGGGAAGTTTTATATATACACACACATATAGACATAATAACTTGGAGCCTGTGATAATTCTGCTTCAGTTAGAAAAAATTATTTCAATGAAATCCTATTTAGCTAATATTGCCCATATTTCAAATTTTGCAGAGACAGTATAATAATCTGTACAATAAAGTAAAAATTAATGTTAAATCATATAGGCTAACTAATAACTTTCTTATATAGATTTTTATGCTTTAAGTAGTGATGGTAAAACTAATAGGTATATTATTCATTAATCACTTAAGGTATGTCAGACGCTGTGTTGTGCTCCTCAAACATTGTTGCTTTTAATCCTTGCAACAAGTCTGTGAATTGGGCATTCTTGTGTCCGTATTAAAGAAAAGCAGGGGCTGAGTTTAATGAAATTAAGCAACTGACCCAGAGCTATGCAGGTTAGACATTTAACCTGGACATTCAGCCTGTGTATGTCTATAACCAAAGCCCATGATTTTAACTACTTTTCTTTACTATTTATAATTAGATATTATTTAAGAGAAAAGGTTTGTTTATTTATTTAGAGACAAGGTTTCAGTCTGTCACCCAGACTGGAGATTTTTATTTTTTAAATGAGTAGTTATTATTGGAAAATTTCTTCCTATTATTGCCATTTCTTTTTAACAGGGAACCAAAGTCCTGCAGATGTTCATGTGGTACCTGAATCCACGGCAAGTCTTTGATCTTTCTCAGGAAGGGCCAAAAGACGCGTAAGTCTGGAAATACACTCCATGGTCCATGTGTGTTTTAGGCAAGTGAAAGAACTTTCTGCTTCGGGGTCAAGTTTCATTATCTGATTACCTTGTGAAATACACCTCTCATGTACTTTCTCACCTGTACTCTCCTTTCTTTAAAACTCCATCTGATGTTACCTTCTATTCTTCATTGAATTAGTTCCCTTCAAAACATGTCTTCTCAATTGTTAAATCAGCCAATTCTTCTAGTGTGTTTGCTGCATATGTGTGTGTGTGTGTATATATATATGTGTGTGTGTATGTGTGTGTGTGTGTGTGTGTGTGTATGTCTGTGAATTGAGAAAGGACCCATCATCTTTCTATTCATGCATGTGTAACTTTGGACATGCACACTAACGGGAGTGGTAAGTGTGTATTGCTATAGAGAGCAGCCATATTTGTTTATGAACATTTGAGTTGGAGAGTCTGTGCGTGTGTGTGTGAGAGATTGATTGATTAATTGATGATACCTATGGACTCTACACCAGTGTAGGTGAGACATTTTACTTCCTGCCCAGTCCCTTTTCTGAGCTTCTTAGAAATCTCATTCTCAGTTTTTGTTAGAAGCATTGAAAATAAAGTCTAGAGGCAGGTGACACATAATACACTGTTTCTTCTCTTTGGTGGAGTGGCACGTGGTGGAAGGAGCAGGGACCCTTCTGCTGTTGTCCAGCTCCGTGTTTTAAACGTATTTACTCAATTCAGATGCTATCTGATAAATGTTAGAACAGAAGGGACACCAGTGTTTTTTTTAATAAGTACAATATCAGAGGCAAAGGAATGTCAACTCAGATGAATTCTAGAGAAATAGTATTCTTATATAAAATGGATAACTTACATATTTTAAGTATGCAGGAGAACACAAAATATAAAAATTAATTTGTCATTCTCTGAATCTATGACTTTCTTTGCCACTAGAGTTTGCTATAAGACTTCTGTATTTTTTTTCCTGTATTTGTACTAAGGTAATTCTGCTACCTGGGCCTGCGCCCTTTTAGATGATTCGTTTAAGGTTTTATCGAGTTAATTAGACCTTAGGTGGACGCTTCGTAAGTCACCATAAAGGATGTGGCAGCACACGAAATATTTTCAGGAAAAACCATATTATTTGATTTAAATAAGTGATGTGTTCTAGCATAGAGCCATCAAGCAAAAGATTTAGCAGGGGCAGTGTCACTGCGTTTTCTTGAGAGCCAACAGTAAAGATAAAATGATCTAAATTCAACGAGACAAATTTGAAGTAAAGAAAATCAATCTTCCCACTTTGGGTGGGAAGTATAAGTAGGGGTGTGAGTGAGTGAGTCAGTTGAGAAAGGGACTGGATGGACTTGTGGTTTTGGTGGTGATGGTGGAGGACCCTCCCCATTGCTAGGAAAACGATCTCTTAGGGTCAAGAGCGGAAAATATAGGTTTCAAATGATAAAAAAGATCTGGGAAAAGCTAATAACATATAAGGAGGAGACGCATAGGGACTGTTGATTACCAATTAATGATGGTTTACTTTGAGAAAGGAGAAGGGGAAAGAAAAAGAAGGAAGGAAGTCAAAACTAATGAGGAAAATAATGCGTATTGACACAGTAATAGAAATTATGAGAAATAAAACTCTAGGACATCCTAAAATCCTTTAAATTCCAGTGCTGACCATTTAAAAATAATGGTTTCTGCCTCCCTGTGACCCTGTTGTTGAAGTCGTTCCTCCTACAGTGACTTGGGAGCTAGCTTTGCTGGTATTGTCATCCTACTGATTATACATTTTCTCTCATGGACGCCACACCCACCCATTTAATCCTGTGTTTTCTCTCTGCTATAGCCAGTAACGTGTTCTTTTGTTTACTTTTTTTTCTGTTTTTCCTTTACAGGCTCGAGTTGTATAGGAAAGTACCAAATCTGCGAATTCTTGCCTGTGGTGGGGATGGAACGGTAGGTCTTTGAAAGAGAATCCAGTTTTCTCTCCCTTATTTCTTCTTTCTTCCCTATTGTTTTTCTTGTGATGGGACACGTTCTTCATTCCCAGCCTTTTCAATCCCCTAAAACGTTACATTTATCTCTCTCCTGTGAATCACAGCCTCTAAGGGTAAGAAGGAACTTTGTTCTTATCCTCATGGATACGTACTTGATCTTTCTAAAGTATACTGTACTCCCTCAGCTATGCTATATAAGGATGTGGTCAAGTCATTAAAATGAAGGTTATAGATGGCTAAATTCCTTAAAAAATAGAAACCGTCTTATTTTCATTCTTAATGACTGGTCACAATGAGGAGAAATATGTGTACAAATTAAATTATTGCATTGTTTTTTTTTACTAGTGGAAATAAAACTCAGAAGTCTGACTAATGATGGTTTGCATTAAAGATCATTAATTGGTCCCATTTGTATACATTTTTAAGGAAATGGTGGATATGGAATTAGGCTGAAGTTTAATATCATGGATATATTTTCTGTTTGTTATATCTCATTGATTTCTCCATTTGGCCTCTTCTTATGTTGGAATATTTAGCAAAAGTAAAGAATTGAGAATTGTGACATTTAAATTGTATTGTCTCGTGTCTTTTTCTTCTGGATTTTGAGTCTAATCTTGTTAGGATCTAGGATTGTATTATGAACTATCTTTGGCGTTTCTCTAATCTCCGTAATTAGAATGTTTTGTTCTCAAAGGCAGCAACAAAATCTAATTTTATCTCTCATAGCACATAAGCACTTTATATAGGATTGGATTCATATTATATACTAATAAGTACAACTGGAATGAAATAGAACAGTGATTCTAGTGGCCCCTCAGATACTCTTTGGAGAGAAAAAACATTTTTCAGTTGGGAAAATAGTGTTTACCATTCTTCAAGAGTCACAATACACATTTCCAACTTATAAAATTCATTATAAAGTCTTAACAGCTAAGAAGCCAAACTCATTTAACTTGGTTTAACCCAGTATTCTTCAAAATTATTTGGCCATGGAATTCCTCCCCCCTTCCCCCGTTATATCAATTAAATTTCAGTTGATTATAGTATTCTAGGGAGCTAGGGGTTATGCTAGTGTGGAATTTTTCCAACTTCCTTTAGTAAGAATATCCAAATGAATCCTCTAGGGACAGATATTATTATAATGTGTTCCTCCTAATTTAACCATCCCCCAGATTAGTTATCTTCAGTGAGAGAGTAAACTCATTGTGACTTTTTGCTATACCTCTAGTTATCGTCCTCATTTTAGAATCTACTTGCTTTTCCATGTGACTTCAACATCCCACTCACATCTTTTCTGCTGTAAATCTCAGTGACAGCAACAGACAAGTTGAGGATATGTAATAGTTCTTCCTCTTTCTTAACTCAAATCCACATCAGCTTCCTATTAAGATACATCCTCAAATCTTGGAGTTTATCATTGCATTGGGTCCTCCACCTCCAAAACCTCCCCATCTCTGCCAAGCCCCATATCTGCTGAACCCCATCTCTGCTGAACTCCTGTCACACCTCCCCTTCAGTATCCTTTGTTCTCCCTCATTCTTGCTCCTTTTTTCTTCTTTTCCTTTACTCAGCAGGTATGTGCAGGAAGCACCATGCCAGGTTGTGTAGTATTGAGACACTCTCTGCAATTAGATAAGTATTTGAAAACATGAGACTTCAAAGCACAAAGAACACAGAGGGAAAAGAGCCACATCCACACACTTTTTATGGAAACACAGAATTATGGAGTCCGAACCAAAGTCCAAAAGGAAAATGAAAAGATAGAAAAATAGAAGGGGAATCCATAGTCTGTTCGGTCAAGTACAGAAACCAAAAAAGGGGTTTCAAGAAAGAGGCTGTGGTTAAATTTAATTTTTTATGGAAAGATGAAGAATTACCATCGAATTTGGAAACTAGGAAGTAACTGGTGATCTCAAGAAAGCAGTTTCAATAGAGTGTGTGGGACAAAAACCAGAATGATGAGTAAGTGAAACTTGGTTCAGTCCTAATGAACTACTGGCCAGATCCAGTACAGTGCTGGGCATCTCAGAACTCTGATGCCTTTGTCACCGCCCTTCGTGACACGTAGACTATCTATTTCTCCTACTTTTCTTAGCCAGTCTTTTCTAGCATCTCTTCATTAAATATGTCATAATTAATGGGTATTCTACAAAGCTAAATATTTCTTTTATGTGTTAGGTACTTTTTCCTCTTAGGGACCTTATCTAGATGCCTAACTTTGGTTTTCACATCCTTCCACATAACTCATAAATGCACCAGTCACTTACACTTGAGTGTCTTACAGTCACTTGTATTAGGCATGCCTAAAATAAAAGTAGTATATTTACCCTGGAGTTGGTGATGCATACTTTTGGACTGATTATTTTTGTCAGTATTAACATCTGTAGTCCAATCACTCAGTCATCTTGTACCTTATGTAAATCTTCCGTAAACTCAGATTTTATTTTGCCTTGTAAAACTAAAGCGTTTTGTGAAAAGTATGGGTTTATGACATGCTTATCATGGTATGTTGTTGATATTTTTGGTTTCATTAGTTTAGAATATAAAACTTTTAATTTTGGGTGGATGCAGAGTTTACATAAAGAGAAGGCAGCCTGATGAATTCGTGATGAAAAGCTCCTGGCTTTGGGCAAATAGAGTATGATTCTCGAGAGTGTCAGGTATATATTTAACATAAGCATTGAGCCTTTAGTGGGCGAATATATCTGTCACTGTAGAAGCTGTCAGAATCCTGCCAGTATAGTGACAAGACTTGGGGAGGAATCCAAATGGAATATTTTTGACTGGTTGGGATGAGGGTATCTCTTAACCATATTAGTTTAAGTGTACAAAGTATTATTTAATATATAAAAAATTTGCATTACTTTGGAAAAAGGTTTTTAGGCTTCAATATTAGTTACTTAAGTTTTATGTTGTTTAAAAAAAATACAAGGAAGGAGAGAGATATATCTCCCAATAATGCATTTGCAGTTGGAGATGGAAGAGGTGATTCTGCTACTTTTTCTGTGACCTTTGACAGGTTCCTCAAGAATGACCTCAGACCTTGGTGTTTATAAACGAGAAAATTGCTCTTTAGCCACATTGTAGTTTTGTACTCTGTCACTTCCTTGGCTGCATTGACACCTATCCAACTCCCCATGAAATCCCTGCTGAAATATCCATGAGCGCATGGACTGAGACCCTTAAAACACACGTAACTTGGTGTATGGCTCCTTCCAGTATAACCCGTGATCCCCACTCTCTGGCTTCTGACTTTGGTGAGTTGGGCTGGAGTCATTCTTGAGTTGGCTGAGTTTTATCTCAGTCATGAGATCAAAGATGGGACCAGACCATCTAGTACCTGGGACTATGTGACAACCTCCAAATTTTGCAAACAAGGTACAAAGAAGGCTACACCATTTTAACCTCTTTCCAAAGGCCAATGGAATTAAATTGATGTTAACCATCCACTTCATGATTATTTCTTGGTCAGTTGGCCTCCCTGGATGAGGGGACATCGTAAATAGTAGGAACCCTCATGCCCTGAACTCACCATAGCCAAGGCAGGGAAGAAAGTATTATTTTCCTTCAACTCACAGGGACAAGCAGATCATTCTAAGCCCCATTCCCCACTCAACCTCAGCTTACCTACCTTATCCTTTGTCCTGAGTGAGCTCATAGTATACTCTCAGTGTGTATTCTTCATGAATAGATACCTTAAATCTATATTCTACTGCAAAAAAAAAAAAAAAGCTCATACCTTGACTATTACATTGATTTCTTCTTTTGTGCTAATTTTAAACACACTTTTTAAAAAACACATGGTGACTTTGTAAACTATTGGGTGCAGGCATAAGTTAAAATATCAAAAGGAAGAATCGTAGTGTACATATTAGAAAGGGTCACTCAGCCACCCAATGCTGTGTCTTGATTTTCTTTCAGAGTTTGGAAATGCTCCCCTTGTTTTTCTTTGATTTCTCCATATGAGTGGCCTTCACTTCTTGACCTGCATATACTACATGGCAGTGCAGCGTGTGTCTGTTCTGTTTGAAGAAAATGTCAGTTCGCTGTCATCTCCACCTCTCAGCCACCTCTATCTAGTATTAGCACACTGCAGAATGAAAACATTGCTCCAAATGCAGCACTTGGTTAAGCGTTCGGTGACGGCTAATGCCGAAAGTGGACAGGTGGTGGCAGCATTGGCCAGCTGCTGCCGTGCGTGGCACTCAGGGACAGCACCGAGGACCTGGTGTTCTCAGTCTGTCAGTCCTGCTTTTCCTAGGAAGGAAGGAAAAAGCTCTGTAAGCTGGAAACTGATTTCACTCCATCAGGGTAACTTTCTTCAGTTCTGGTGGAAAATATGCCAAGAGCTACGTGTTGCAATTAATGAAATAATTTAATTGAAAGGGCGCTAAGTGAGCTGGTGGAGATGATTTGGGGAACTACTAAAGCTCTGCCAAACACAGTCCCTGCCCAAGAACCTGCAGTGCAGTGTGCAGCTGGACTTCGAGCAGGAACTGGGTCCTGATTATTGTGAAGGCAGAGCTCTCAGTAACAGCTTTGAGTGCTGAAGATTTTCTGTATCTCCTGCTATTGTAGATATGTGTTTGTTTCTGTTCTTTTTTTTTTTTTTTTAAGAGATGGGAGTCTCCCTGTGCTACCCAGGCTGGCCTCAAACTTCTGGGCTCAAGCAATCCTCCCACCTCAGCCTCCTGAGTAGCAGGGACTGCAGGCACACACCACCTTATTTTCTTTTTTATATCCCCTTTCTACTGTAAAGAAACTTCTTGGTTTGGTGGCAGCCCAAACTGGGACTGATTCATAAACTTAGGGCTGAATTTTCTTTAAGTGCAGCGACAGTAAGAGGCCATTCTGCTTTTAGGAAACTGGGTCTTTATCAGTGAAATAAGGGAAGAGGAAGAAAAAGGTGAGTTATAGTAGCTAGTGGTAATTTGGCATTTGCTGTTTGCCAGGAGCATGCTAAGCAATGCTGATACTTTATTTAATCGGTAAAATAACTCTGAAAAGCAACATCCTGCTGCCTGCTGAGGAAGCTGATTGTTGGGGTTTGGTGATATGGCTATCAGTCAAGAAAAAGTATTCAGGAGCTGTGAAAGGGCAGATGCAGGCTCACCTCAGCTGAAGAACTATCAGCCTAACACTGTCCGTGAGAGAATTTCAAGACAAAGCAAAATCTGTGCTGTGGAAGGCAGGAGGCATTTGAGGACTCCAAGGCGATGCAGTGATGAAATACAAGATTATCTGCTTGTATACAGGAGAAAATGAAATATTCGATCATTGGGCTATGGAAACAAAGGAGCTAGAATATATTTATCCAGTTTGTAAAGTAAATCAATTGGAAAGAAAAGGGAAGCATCTTTATATTCAAATCATCTATACTTTTTTCTGCGTCAGCCAAATGTAAGAGGATCAGAGCTGGCGAGAAATCCAGAGGCCCTGAGGGCTTGTGCCCTTTGTGGAATCATAGTAAAGTATCACAAAAACGTATTTATTTATTTACTTATTTTGAGACAGAGTCTCACTCTTGCCAGCCAGGCTGGAGTACAGTGTGTCGTCATAGCCCACTGCAGCCCCGAACTCCTGGGCTCAAGCGATTCTCCCGCCTCAGCCTCCCCAGTAGCTGGGACTACAGGCGTGCACCACCACTCTTTGCTATTTTTAAACATTTTTGTAGAGATGGTGGGGGTGGGTGGGGAGGTCTCGTTTTGTTGCCCAGGCTGGTCTTGATCACCTGGGCTCAAGCGGTCCTCCCACCTCAGCTTCCCAAAGTGCTGGAATTACAGGCGTGAGCCACTGCACTGAGCTCCATGAAAACTCTTGACACCTTCTCTGAGAAATCAACAGGACCAGAGCCTAAGAAGGTTTGAAATATAAGGGCAGTAATAGTCAGAGGACTATTAGAAGACACAGCATCAATTCACAGAAGTTACAGGACACTTATTTCAAAGTCATTTGGAAATTATTTGTATTTCGTGGGCAGTGAATTAACCCCCTCACTCTCCATCTATTTTGGTATTAGCCTTCTTCGTGAGATTTGGATATTTGCTCTGCAAGCTCGTCTTCAGAGGAAGTTGTTTTGCTTGATTTACTTTTCTGTCTCTGTGTCACGTCACTACCCCTTTCTGGTAGTTTTGAATTGTCTCCAGGACTTTTAGACTAGAGCTAGGTTTTTCTATAGGTTCCTAAGGCTCTCATCCTGCGCAGAGGTCACGGATATGTCAGTGAGCTCATTCATGGAAGTTGGGCCAAGCACCTTCTAGGCTTCTTTGGGCCACAACAGGTCTCAGCTTTCTCTGGGCCATGATGCCAGGCTGGAATTTCACACTGTCTGCCCACCTCTCTTCCTTCCTAAGAGGGAGGCCAGCTCCAGGACAGCTTGCCCCCAGCAGGGGGCACACTTTTACTTCCCATTCATTACTGGGCAGAAGCCAAACTGCCTCTTCTGCCTGTTGCAAAACCAGGAGCCAAATTGATTTAAACCTTTACCTGGGTTTTGCCACTTTGTGTTTGTTTCTGGCCCATGAGGATGTATCTTTTCTTTCTTTTCTATCCTTGCTGTGTCTGGAGTGATAGGGAGTGTTGAAAAGTGTAAACGTGTAGCATTATCTTTACCAAGAGTGACATATTTCAACTAAACTTCAGAAGAAAAATGTCTAATCTAAATGGACCCAAAAGATAATGGGCTGATAGGTAGGTACACATCATAAAGGGGAGGTTGGATTATCATCTTTTGGAGAAGTTTTAAAGAGAGTACCTTCTTTTTCCTTCTCTGGATGGGATGTTGAGTTGGAGTTCTACGAAGTTCTGTTGCGTATTTGCGGGTCTGTTTCCACTCAGGGCTGTTTGCATCTGTAGTCAGTGGTCTCTGAGGGCTGGGCTTCCTGAGTGTTTATGTCCTTTTTAATCACCTATAAACCCCCTTCTTGTAGTTTTTTAGAGCTATCTACTTTTACTGCGTTTGTGCTTTTAGGGGCACAGGAACGTTGTCTGACAGTCATCAGAACTAATTTAGCCTCAGGCATTTCTGTTTTCTTGTACTTCACTAGCTGTGTTGATACTGTGTATAAAAAACAAAAGTAAAGAGTATTGGGAGAATAGATGGATTTTTTGATACTTTTATCCCCCTGGATTTCTACTTACCACATTAGGTGAACATTGAGGTGCACTTTTTAGAAAGTAAACACAGTTTTAGACTCTATTGATAGGTGAGTCTTGCATCTTGGAGAGTCATTTTTGTGAAGGAGAAAGGATTTTAGATACAAGTTGAGAGGACTGGTACTGCTCTGACTCTGCCATTTCTAGTTAGTTAGTCTTGAGAAAATTATCTTATCTGCACTTCAGTTAATAAATCTGCAGGTTCACTGAATTTGATTAAGCAACTTCTAAGGTTTTTCCTTAGAAGGTTGCCTTAGAAGGTTTTTCCTTGGCTTAAGTCTTTAATGTGGGAACCAGCTAGATGGTAAAGCTGATTTGTCAGAGAAGTAAAGAATTATGTAGTTCATGACAAAATAATTTTTCTAAATTTGAGACAAAACTGGTTAACATCCTATGGGAAAATAAAATCCTAGCAGGACCTTTAAAATAATCTTCTCTTCTTGACATTTACATCCCTGTAGGGCAGAAACCTATGTTAACCTATAGTTATAAAATTCTTAGACAGGCCCATGAAACACTAGTATGACATTATAAGGATATCTGGATTTCTTTTTGATATTTCCAAGTTTTGGGTAATTTTTCTAAATAGTTATAATAAGACTAAACCCAAAATATTATTTATCTTAGAAAAAGATTAAGAAAATATGATTTCTAACTGTAAGTATCTATTTTCTGCCTAAACTTATAATAGGTTCTAAGGCCATCTACAATTATGTTTTCATAGTGTTGATTAAAGGAGAATATAGGGAAATTTAGGAAAACTATGAATTTCCAAGATGAGACTATGGAGGGTAACCATTTAACGATTACTTACATGGGCCATGCATCATGTGAAGGGCTTTATGTATGTTTTAGTTCGGTCTGTAAACAATCCTGTGAGGTAGGTATTATTATCCCCATTTGGAAAATCAGGTAAATGAATGAGTCTCAGTGAGGTTAAATAGTTTAATCAAGGTTACACAGCCTGTGAGGAGCCAGAATTGAAATTCAGTCTGATTCTGAGTCTTAAATTCCCTCCTGTGCCCTGTTATGTTAACTAAATCTTAAACTCTTCTAAATTTTAAAGTATATCTGTAGTTAAACACACAGATGAATGGGTTTAGTTTTGTTTATGGGAGAGAGTACAGTGGTCCTTTTTACCTCTAAGAGGCTTAGCATTTGGAAACTGCCTGAGCTAGGTGGCCTTTCTATTCCCTACCCACTGGTTTAAAACACCTATGTTTTAAAGAAAAATAGACCAGTTTTTTGTTTTGTTTTGTTTAGCTCTTTAAAGCTTCCTTTTCTGGAGTTATTTTCTTTGTAACTTATTTATCTTTCTTATACCTCTTCTGGCCCCCGATATGTCTGTAGGTGGGCTGGATCCTTTCCATCCTGGATGAACTGCAGCTGAACCCTCAGCCTCCCGTGGGGGTCCTTCCTCTGGGCACTGGGAATGACCTGGCTCGGACTCTCAACTGGGGAGGGGTAAGAACTGCCCTCGGGGGAGGGGGGCTGCCCATGTCATCAAGCAGCAAACAGAACTCCCAGATCCACAGATGTTCTCCCGGAAGGGGAGTGTGCCGCTGCTGTCCAAGGCATAAGTCAGAGTTGGCATTCAGAGTGCCCGTGAACCCTGATTTTATCTGGTAGCTTCTTTATTTTAAACTTATAATCAGCCAGAGGGAAAGGGAAAGTTGAGTATGAGAAAAATCTGGTGGTTCATTCACAGGCCTGGAGCATTATGAGGTTTCAACCCCTAAGAGATAGTGGGCGCCCAGCTGGCGTGGGGAACTCGCAGCCTTCTGATTTCAATATTGTTCTTTTTTTTTAAAGCACTACAGGAGGAAAGGAAAGCTTTGTCTTTCTCTGCTGCACCCCTCTTAATAGAAGGATTTGTTCTGTAAAAATTGGATTTGGTCAAAAGGCTGAACTTAAGGACCTAGAAGGCCACATGTGGCCTTAAAGCCTGCACGTTCTCCACCCCTGGAAGGTCTTCATGTAGAACAATCATACAGACTTGAATTAATCCTGACCCTCAGCCCTGGCCAGACAGCACATTTTGTTAGATTTACAACCCTTACTTAGGGAGAATTACATCTCTTTTTGAGCATTTGGTTTTTCTGATCTGTGTTATCATGGCTTTGGCTGTACAGGTGTCAGCTGTCCTCCCACCATGGAGCCAACCCCACACAAGCTTGGGTGGGGGGAAGTAGTTCTTCCATCACTAACCAGCCATTTTCTGTATGTATGTATGTATGTTATAATACTAAGATAGCAAGGAAATATAGTAAATATAGATATATTAATATTATATAAATATAAATATTATATAAATATAAATTAATATTTATATATTATATATATATATATATATATATATATATATATATATATATATATACAGCCCCACCAACATTTATCTGCTCATATAAGACCAATATCTGGGCTGGGCTTCATGAAAATTATATTCAGATGTCTAGCAGATATTAATCTGGCCTTTGGGTGAATTAACTTTCTGTGGATTTTTTTTTTTAAATAGTGGACAATTTAGAAACGATAAATATATTTACATGAAACAACTAAGGTATTATCACTGTTAGCTTCTCTCATCCACATCAGTGACCTGCCTGTCCTCGGTAGGCCATGCTGTCAGTAATGGATCCTTAAGGAGTAAGTAGCTCCCTAACAGGACCGTGCTTCGGTCAGACTTACCTCAGGTCATGGGAGGAATGGTGTCCTCCCACAGGGTCAGGGAGAGGTGAAATGGAAGAATGTTGCCAATCAGATCCCTCCTTGATCTTTTTCTCTTTTCCATTTCTGTTTGTTCTGGGTATCCCCCAAGCCCCTCTAGTCTGAGGCATGGAGAGCCCTGTTTTTCACTCTGATAAAAGCAGCCATCCAGCATGGTCCTCAATGCCTATCAGTGGCTGTTGGTTCTTGGTGCAAAAACCAGCCAGAGCTAATGTTTCTGTGCCCCCTACCTGTGAGTATTATCTTAAGTTCAAAGTCCCTTGAGGAAAACAGCTTACTCTCCCAGCCTTACTAATTACAGACTAAACAGAATCTAGCAGTGGAGCTTTTCCTTACGTAAATAGCGTTGGCTACACTGTTCTGTACTCCAGATAGCAATGTGTATGTTCTCTGATTCCTCAGGGCTACACTGATGAACCTGTTTCTAAGATCCTGTGCCAAGTAGAAGATGGGACAATTGTACAGCTAGATCGCTGGAACCTCCACGTGGAAAGAAACCCAGACTTGCCTCCAGAAGAACTTGAAGATGGCGTATGTAAGGTTAGACACTTCTTTCTGCTGCAGACACGAACGTGGAGCATCCCCTGACCTACAGGAAACGCATTTCTGGCTGGAGAATCATGTGCTGATTCCTTCCTGTGAGATAACGGGAAAGTGTCTGAGTTTATGGTTACTAGGGCTATAGGCATAATAACACTGCCTAATGATTATGCTCCATACTCTGAAGACCTAGATTTCATACCTGCTTACAGAGCTCAGGGAGCTACTCTCTGTCTTCACCTTCCACACTAGAAAGTCATGTGTTCATTTTTTAATCTTTCAAGTTAATTGCAACCAACTTATGAGAAGATGAAAAACATATATGTTCTGAAGCGTTGGAGCCTTGATCTTTCAGTAGAAAGATAACCTTCTGAAATTTCTGGCCTGATACTAAGCAGTAGTAACTAAGCCAATTGTATCACTTGATTGGGACTCAAAGATGCCTAAATAAATGTTTTGACTTCGTGTTTTCTTTTAGTGATGAGCTTTTATTTCAACCGAAGACAAACCAAGGGATATGGTTGTAAATATGCTAGTGTGGCACTTCAGTTGATCATTTGGTTCTGAGTTGTGGCCTCAATTTCAGATAAATTTAGTAGGTTGCTGAGTAGCCACTTTTTCTAAATTACTTCCCAGTTTTCTTCTATGATAGAATTTTCAAACTTTGCATGTTTGTAAGAATCTCTAGGTGTGCTTGTTAAAATGCAGATCATGAGGCCCAGTCCCCAGAAATTCTGATTAAGTAAATGCAAGATTAAGGCCCAAGTATCTGTACTTTCAACAGTGTTCCTGCTATAATGAATTATGCCATTCATTGATTTAGGCTAAGATTTTATGGATATTTCAGGCTTAAAATGGATTGAACATCATATCATTTCAGATCAAACCAGTATCCACTTATTTATTAGCACCATGATTCTGACCAATTATGATAGATGCATACATTTCTTATTTGACTAAAATAGGTTAAAACAGGTTTTGCTTTGTATTTCTGGTTATTTTTTCACCTAAACTGTGACTCCAAAATTAATAAGGTTTCTAGTAGGTATCATAATTGTTCAGATGAACTTGAGTTCATAATGTCACAATGCTGTTTAGACAATAAGTATCATCTTGGGATGTGATGCTTTTTTCTAATGAATTTTTGACTTACAGAAATTTTATAGAAAACAGCCAAAGTAGAAGGAAGTGTACTATATGGATATTTTAAAGTCCTTTTCCTACTAAACTTGGAATGGGTAGGCCCGCAATAGAAATCCATACTTGATTCTCTTCCCAACAGCTTAAGAAATGGAAAGACTTCTTGGAGCAGCCAGAGAACATCAATCCAGATAATTAAAGGGCTTTGTAAGTGGGTTTTTAAGGAGATATGTAGGAAATTGGGGCAAGTTTTCCTGGAAAATATGAATAACTTAAAAACAGACTAAGTTGGGATATTATATTTAGGGGACAGTGGCCAGATGTTCTTCTTAGCTATCAGTGGATAGCTAAGACATGGGTTGGAATTGTAGCCAAAAGAACATAAATGGTAGAGGAGATGAACATATCTGTGCTTTTGGCAGGATCACCAACTCATGCTGTCATTCCTAAGAACTGGTATTTTATTTAAGTGCAGCAACTGGACATTCTCAAATATGAAGCCAGAAAAGTGAGACATGGTTTTGGCATCTTTCTATGTTTTTAGTTTCTCTCCCTATTCTCCAGTGAATTGAAATCATTTCTAAGGGCTGCTTTGGCCTCTGAATCATTATAGGCTGTGACTTGGGGGCTTCCACGTGGCATCATTCCTTACTTCCTTTAGAGACCAAGGCAATCCAACTTCTTTCTGCTTTAAATCTCTCATGCTCTCTTTCTTTCATTTCATTTTTTTCTTAACGAGACAAAGTTCTCCCTCCAGTGAAACAGAAAATCTTGCTTATCAAAAGGAATGTGAAACACTGTAATATACTTAGTTTTGAAATCTTTAGGGTTAAAACACCTTTTTCTCATGGAAAACAGGTGCAGTTCGATTTGGGTCATAAACCTGATAATTATCTGGAAATATTCCCTTTCTTTATTGACTTTAATGTTTATCTTCCTTGCTGAGTTGCAGAAGGAAAAGTGGGAGAACCACCCTTTCCCTTCTAGCATTTTCCATATGCTTTTCTAATTGTTTCAACATTGAACCAAAGCTTTAAAAATCACTTAGTTTTGCATTTTTAATGTAAGATTTTTAGGCTGCATAGTTCTTTCCTTCACTCAGCCTGTGGTGGTATCAGCCAGAGACCCAAAGAACTCTGGGAAGGAAAGTTAAGGCTTGCACATGCATGTGTGTGGCTGTGTTTGCCAATTTCATGGTCCTATCAAAAATACAAGGTTTGATAAATTAAATGGGAATTTGAGTAATACTGATAGGTATATTTTTGGGCTTTTTTTCCCCATCTAGGTCAACAATAGTTAAATGGTTCACACTGCCCTGTTATTATTATATGACTTTTGTCTCTCTCTCTATATATATTCAATATATATATATATTATATATATATATAACAGATGATGGGTAAACAAATAAACGGTTACTCATTTTAAGTTGTAATATTTTTATGTTGAATATAAATTCTCAAGAAAAGTATATCCACTTTTTAAGTGGTTAGAAATGATCCTTGCAATTGAATTTACTTTCTGAGTTTGCTTAGTGAATAATTCTTAGTGACTATTCCAAGTATCCATCCCTCAGCTTAACAAGTTTCTATTGTTACAACATCTACAAGAATGGTTCTTATTTAATAACTTGTAGCTCTTGTTTCCTACAGTACGTATAATTCCTGAGGTAATTACTTGATTCGAGCTTTCACTAATGAATTAATTCAAGAATCTCCTGTTTCTTGCTCAGGGGTCCTCAAACTACGGCCATGGGCCACATGCAGCCCACCATCTGGCCCGCTGGGTGTTTTTGCTGCCGCTGCCTGTCCTGCTTAGCAGCCGACTCATCCCAGGCCCACAGTGCGCATGTGTGGAATGTGCGCCGCACTCTCCAACGGCCCTCCAACGGTCTGAGGGACAGTGAACTGGCCCCCTGTTTAAAAAGTTTGAGGACCCATGCTACATAAACAATCTGTACTTCGAATCATGACTGATTTGTCTCCTGGGGACTGCCCAAGACATAGGTGTCGGGTTTAGGTTTTATCTTTCTCTTTCTGCCTGGCCACACATAACTGGACCTCTGTCTTTGTTTATCATTGCAGCTCCCTCTGAATGTTTTCAATAATTACTTCAGCCTTGGATTTGATGCTCATGTCACACTGGAGTTCCATGAATCCAGAGGTGAGGACAACGTCCCATTTCCATCTCCCAGGGAGGAAGTTTCCAGCAGGTGTTTTGCATGTTCCCTTTTGTTTGCATATCACTTAAATGTTTACGGTGTGCTTCAGTGTTGTTTCATTTTAACCTTTGTAATGACTCCGGGAACTAGACGACATAGAAACTTATTGCAACAGGGACCCTGAGACCTAGTTGTTTAGAGTCTCAAAGACAGTAAACGACAGGACCAGATCGGTGTCCCAGAATTCAGGACTACTAATCTTTAAGTTTGACTGGAAATTTTGAAGTGAATGAATGTCTAAAGAAACAATGGGCATCTAGAACACTAGAGGGGCCGTAGGTAGTTTAGGTTGAAGGAAAGGAGTGTGATGGTGATTGGATGAGGTAAACAGGCTCTGGGGATCCTCACTGGATGATACAAAGGCGTGAGTGAGACTGAATAGCAATTTAAAGTACTAGAAGAGATAGAGTCAAGACTGAGGGAACGGAACAATTTTTGAAAGAGAAGTAAGATGAATAATGATATGCTGTTAAATATTTCATCAATATTTTCTCTTACCATTTAGAACTGAGAAAGTTTAGGATTTTGACTTATGCTTTGTAGCCCCAATCACTCTCTCTCTCTCTCTCTGTGTCTCTTGATCATTCTCTTAATCTGTCCTTTTATTAACTGTACTATACATCTATGTATCTATAGTTATATCTGTACCTAGTTCCTTGTGAATGTCTTTATATATAACCAAAATAATACTAGGATGTAGATTTCTAAGAAGCTTGTGAGATAAAAGCCATAAATGAGAAAGCGCTTTTACTCCTTTTCCTCCTGGCTCTGCAAGAGTGTAAGTGATTTTAAACCATAGAATTTGAAATGCAGATTACTAAGAGATATAATTCAAATTTTCAGATTCCAGTAATAATGCAGAGAAAATTCTGATAATGTTCTTATGCACTAGAAGTCAGGAGTAGAGCTACAAGATTAACATTGTTGGAAGACAAAATAAAAGTAAAGTGCTATATAGTTCTTTACTGAATTCAGCAATTTTGGTAGACTTTTGCCTTCCTGGTTTCTTGAGGCTTTGAAGGAATAGGCTCTGGAGAGGTCAAATTCTGCGCCAGGAAAGAACGATACTGTTTGAAGAAAGAGAATAGTTTGGTCTTGCTCTTTGATACTCAGAAAATCACAGTGAGAAAGTATGGTTGATAACAGAAACTCAGAAATCCAAGGATGGTTGATAACAGAACCTCAGATATCCAAAGCAGAAACACCACTAACTCTCCTTCCTCTCTGCCATAGACAGTTCTTGGAGAGAGATGTTCAGAGAGATTTACGTTAGAGCCAATATTTATAACCAATTGCCCTTCCTATATTTAAGGAGAGTTAATTTAGAAAGTAAATTGTGGTTTAATTATTCATTTCTTGCCCCATTTTTTCCTTTAATATTAGGACATTAAATATGAAATGTATAATTTTGAATCAAAAGTGTGATTTATCATATTTCAAACAAGAAGTAGTGCAATAATCAAACTATGCATCTAAACTGTCCACACAGTTTTGCCTCGGGAGGGTCTGGGTCCCAGGCTTCTTAATAAGATCCCCGAGTTTCTTAACAGAACTTATTAAGTAACACAGTTATCACTAACACATGAATTTCCCAATAGTCATGAAAAGAGGTTGAAATGAGTAAGTGACCAACAATGAATTCATTCAAAGTGAGTCTAATATTTTAGTCTAACTAATCTGAAAGTTATTCTAATGAAACACTTTCCCGATCTGTGATGACATTTCTGTGTATCACAAGTGGGAGGAGAGCAGGGAGAGACACCTCGGGGGAAAGACCGGGTTTAGAAGAGAATTCTTTTGGGGAAAGTGATTTTTTTCTCTTATTTTAAGCTGTGGGATTATTTAATTTTAGAGTAGAATATGAAAATTTTGGTGCCTATGAGCACGTGTATTTTTATGTATGTGATTATGAAGCAGTTGGTTAGAAGATGCCAAGCATTCATGTTTGCATGGTTTATTTCTGAGGCTTAGTGCAAGTGTTTTAATGGAGTTTGAAATGGAATTGCAAACATTTCCCCTACGTAAGCCAGAGCCTTTGAGGAAAACCAGCCACTGAAGAGCTGATAAGGGAGAATTTATATAGGTTGGGAATAACTGTTACACTATTCGTGAAGGTGAAAGAGAGATAATAAAAGATAAATGTTCATTAAGATATTGAAACTAGATTTTGTTGATACACTTAGACTAGAGGTGTGGACTTCTCCTCACTATTAATCTGTTATTTTTACATTAAATAAAAATAATTATGTATGAAAAGTATAATTAGTTAGCTAAAATATATATTGTAAATATATATATGTTTTACTGTTTCTGTTCATTTGGATTTTCTCCATATTTTTGTCTGGTTGATCAAGAAATCTTAAGCTAAGCTGTAGAATAAAAGGTAGCATAAGCAAGGCCATATTTTCAACTAGGGCAAGCGTACTTATGTTGTTGGCAGGTAGTGAGTGGCTGTTCTCAAATCAAGAATAAACATAGTGGAGACTTTAAACTGTTCTCTAATGCAGTCACAGTTTGAGGCTTCATGATGAAAGTTATATCATTGGCCATAAAATACCTGGGGGGTGACTCAAAGCCTCATGAGAGCCACTGTGAAAAAATGAGTTTGGATAGAAGGACTTATTAGGCATTAGTCAAGAAAATATAGTACTATAATTTGGGAATTATGCCAATACATCTGCATAAAATGGGTAATTAATACTAATCTCATTAAGGCAGAATTTTCAAAAATTTAACTGCAGAAAGAATTTTTTACATATATATAAAAATAGTCTATCAAATTGATGGATCTTAGCATAACTACCTGTTTTGTATTTATTTTGGAGGCATCAATTAAAGTGACATTTATTTTGGGACAGTTTATTAATGTCATTACTGAGCAAATGCTTTTAGAATTACTGGTGGAAAACCAAATAGGAGGATAGCCTTAAAATTTTGATTAACTTTGTATATAAAGAAAGCAAACATTTGATTATTTGGGTTTCTATATTTGATTAGAAAGAAGGTATACTGCACTTAGTTGGAAAACAGAGATGCTTTCTTATTCTTCTCAAAGTGGCCAAGCCATTCATACTACTTAAATATCATAAAGTGCAATTGTTTGGAATAGAACTTGGAGATGTAATAGGATTGGTCATTTAATTGTCAGCCAGAGTCTTGCCTAGGACTTTTATCATTGTTGTATTTTGACAGTGCTTGGGGAAGAACATTGAAAATATTCCAATCTGTTACTGTATAGCCATGTTTACAATGATTATGGCTATCAGTGACAGAGTTGGATCTCACTTTGCCAGCTGTATGAATGAGATTGTCACTTTTTGGACATAAAGGATATTAAATACATCAAACTTTTAGTTTTAGATTGAATGATTAAATTTTACTGTCACATCGAAATTACTTATTCAGAGAAGTTGAAACTTATACTACAAGGTCAAGGAAATACAATTATGACTCTAGACAAGGCAGTATTTAAATTCGATTAGGATTTACTATTTTCACTGAATATTCAGAGACATGCAAATCAGCACATTTCAAAGGATTATGAATGTTTCATGATTTGTATCATAGAGAACTGAAAGATTTCTTTAAAAAAGTGTTATTTGCCATGGCTTGATGAATTTCATCATTGCCAACATCGCAAAGGATGCGTGGCTGGACTCTTTGCCTTTGAGAACCTTTCACTGTCTGAGGTTCTCAGAAAGCTTATCCATCTGGAACCTCTGCACGACCCCTACTCATCATTCAAGACTCATGTCCCTCCCTCTGGAATGCTTTTCTGATGATTCTCTTTGTGTGTGCTTTACCGTATATAAACTATCTTTCATAGCATATACAAAATGAAATTTTACTTTTCATTTTGAGACCTGTCTCTCCCACTCTAAACTCCATGAGGGCAAAAGACCACGTCTTATTTATTTTATATTTCCAGTACCCAGCCCAGAGGCTGTCTCAGTAAGTGTTTGTTGCAGTAATGGAATGTTTAATTAGGAGATAGGCCCCATAGACAAAAGGTAAATAGCAGTAGAAGGTAATGTATATAACAAGATTAGCTGCATAGGCAGTAAATAATAAAGGCAGTTAATGGGACTGGTGGCAAAAGAAGGATATTGGGGAAAATGTCAAGAAAGCGTAGGAGGAAATACAGCTCAGAGATACAGGGAGGACTGTGACATCACAAGAAGTAAAGCAGGTGAGAGCATTTCAGGCAGGAAAGAAAAGAACAAAGGGACATATAAGCTTGTCATAAAGATAGGTTAGATGAGCAATTAATTCACAATGAAAGATTTTTTATGTTGTTAGAAAAACAATGGTAATGTTGGTACAAATATTTTTCCTTAATGGGAGATGATGTTGGAGAGAAGGAAAGATGATAATAGATACAATTTGAATTGAAGGTGGGATGTTACTATAGGCATAGATTTTGGAGTTATTTGTATATACATGATAACTGAAATCTCAAGATTGGGTAAGTATCCAATGGAGAAAATATGGAAGATGTATGAGTTATTTGGGGTTCAAATTACATAGTGTAAACTTATGTTTATGAATATCTCCCTAATATGCCTTGAGCAAACTGGATGGATTTTAGTTAAGAAGTTGAAAACTGAGCAAAGGAAGAGTATGATAACGATAAGCATACTGAATTTATTTGTGCATGTGCATATTTTTAACAGTTGCAAGTGGAAAAACTCAGTCTGAATTATGAATTAGAGAGCCTTGCTTTTCGATATACAGAGTTGGCGAAAGTGTACACCTAGGTAATATGAGCAATAATTTAATTCTAAAAACTTGGAAATGTATTTTATCATGTAGAATGTGTATCTGGGTCCACTATGATTTTTTCATTCCATCTATAGGTGTGAGAGAGTTTTCTGTTAGTACCTTATCAAAGGCAGTTTTGGCCAAGTTTAGTTGAAGCACATCAGCACATATGCATACAGCA